TTAGATCATTCTCCATTGTCTAAAGAGTTATACGTGAAGCACTAGATGAACCAATGCTTTGATACCACTCATTTGGGCCCACATGCAAGTGCACCATGAGCCATCAAAAGCACTCCTCACTGAATCCCAGTACAGTCTGGGTTCTCTATTTGGGCCTAGCGTTTTTTCCAAACAACACCCCTCATTTGGTTTTTGATGTAAGACCCATTGTTTTATTGGTTTTCTAATTTCATTTTATTTTTGTTTATTAAAAGTTATTTTTTTAATAAGTCATAAAAAATAAAATAAAATAATAATAATTAGGATTAGTTTCTTTCTAAAATATTTAATTAATTAGTTAATTATTTTAATGCAATTTTATCAATTTAAAATCAAATTAGACTTAGGTTCTTTATTAATTTAAGCTATTTTCTTAATAAAAAATACCAAAAATATTAGAATTAGGATTTATTTCATCCAACTCTTATTTTCTTAATTAGAAATAAATTTAGAATTATTTATTCTCTTAACAAAACTGGAAAAAAAAGATTTTTTGTTTATTTTTATTTACTAGGTTTTTTTAGACGTTTCTTTATTTCACACGCTTATATTATTATGTATCTGCCCATGATTTGTAATCTTGCCGCGCACGCTATTTATTTCCTGATTATGTATCTGCCTATGGATTGTAATAACACTAATTAAGATTTTTTATTTTCTGCATTTTACATTTTTAGTCAGATATAACTGTAACTGTCCCGAAGCCCTGTAATAGTTGTAGGACTTATTTCTCGCTTTTTATTTTCTTATATGCTTGTATATAATTGCTAGTAATTAGGTGTGCATGACAAGATTAATCAAATTAATCATTAGATCACTAATTGCAAGATAAACATAACTGAAAAGGCACTATTGCACACTTGCATTCTTAGGGTACTCCTCACTTGGTTGCCTCAGAAAATAATGGTCATGTCCCTCGAACGTAGGGATATCTTAGAAATGACCCTCAGTTTAAAAGTCATCATAAAAGATCATGGTCCCTAAACGTCTCTCGAGTTGCCTACGAGAAATGATCTTGTCCCTCGATGTTGCCTATATGATGACAGTCCCTTCGAATGCTAAGATATCCTTACATGTTTCCTTCAATGACCATAACATCCCTTTCGATAGTCCCTCAACATCCAACGATAGGGCAACAGCGTATGCAATGCAGAAAATTTTGCGGAAACACGTCGTGAACAAAATGTAATGGTAACCGTTCGAGATGGAGCTCAAGGTAGTGATGAGTGGTACTTGGGTCCCGGTTGTTCAACTTATATGACGGGTAAAAAATATTGGTTTGTCAAAATTAATCAAGCTACGAAGAACAAAGTTAGATTCCGGATGACACAACTTTAGCGGCCGACGGTGTTGGTGATGTTTTGATCATGAAGAAGGATGGAAATAATTTAGTGATCAAAGGCATGTTATACATTCATGGGATTAAGTATAACCTCTTGAGCATTAGCCAATTTCTTGAGAAGAATTACACAATTTGGATGGAAAACAAGATTTTACGCATTTTTTACCGAAACAGAGTTTTAACTCTTAGAGCACCAATGGCTGCAAATCATACTTTCAAGATAGATTTGAAAGTGATGGAATATAGGTTTCTTGCTACAGCTTCAAGTCGTGATGAGTGGTTGTGGCATTACCGTCTTAGACATCTCAATTTTCGTGATCTTGACGCATTGTAAAGGAATGGTATGGTTACCGGGTTGCCAAAGATTAATGTTCTAGCTGAGATATATGATGGGTGTGTTCAAGGGAAGCAACACAAGGGTAGTTTTAGCAAAGATGCAGGCTATAGAACAAAATATCATCTTGAGGTTGTGTATTCGGACGTTTGCGGACCAATGCAAGTTGACTCGTATGGTGAAAATAGGTACTTTGTCACTTTCATTGATGATTTTAGTAGGAAGTTATGGATTTATCTAATCAAGAGGAAAGATGAGGTGTTTGACGTGTTCAAAATTTTTAAATCCATGGTAGAGCGACAAAGCGGTCACAAGTTCAAAATTCTCAAAACCGATGGTGGAGGTGAATTTATCTCAAGTGATTTTAGGAATTATTGTGATGTTGGGGGTATAATGCATGAGGTTGTAACACTTTATAAGCCTCAACAAAATGGTGTTGCCAAGAGAAGAAATCGTTCGATAATGAATATGGTCCATAGCATGTTGAAGAACAAAAATTTATTGAAAGAGTTATGGGGAGAAGCCGTGTCTATAGCCGCCTATTTGTTGAATAGGTGCCCTAAAAGAAGCTGGACAAAGTGACTCCATAAGAGGTATGGTCTGGTTCTAAACCAAGTTGGAGTCATTTGAAAGTTTTTGGTTCAATATAATTTCGATATATTTCGGGTCAAATTCGAAAGAAGTTGGATGACAAAGGGGAGATGATGTTTCTGGTTGGTTATCATCCTACCGGTGGCTACGAATTATTTGATGTGAGTAGCAAGAAGATTGTGATCAGTCAAGATGTGGTGGTAGACGAGTTAAGGTTGTTTGACAGCATAAAAATTCACAGTTCAGTAACAGAAACTGGTTTCCCAACAGAAGGTAACCGATTTCCTTCGCGATTTTTACATTCTAAAGTTGTTGGAATTCAATTCCTCGAAGCAGAAACCAGTTCCCCTATTCCTGGAAACCGGTTTCCACTAGAAAATGCAGAAAATCAACAGATTGCAGAACCAACCACGCATCCGATCGAATTTAAGAATGGTGAATCCAATAGACGACCAATAAGACATAGAGCTCTACCTCAAAGGCTCCGAGATTGTGAAGTGTTCCATGACAATAAGATCAACAATGATGGTGATCTTATACACTTTGCGCATATGTCCGAATTTGAGATCGTGAGTACGGAGGAGGCATTAAGCGATCCAAAGTGGGTGTGTGCGATGAAAGAGGAGCTGAAATTGATTGAGAAAAATAGTATTCAGGAGCTGGTCGATTTACCGGAACCAAAAAAGTAAATATGAGTGAAGAAGGTCTATAAAGTGAAGGCAAATTTAAAAGGAAAAATTGTCAAGCATCAGGCGTGACTAGTAGCGAAGGGATTTTTGCAAAGAGAAAGTATAGACCGGTGGCTATATTGGAAACTATACGATTGGTTGTTTGTATTGCAAATAGCAATAATTGGTCAATATATCAAATGGATGTAAAATCCGCATTTTTGAATGGTTCACTTGAGGAGAAAGTCTATGTATAGCAGCCCCCTGGTTTTGTGGTGAAGAATCAAGAGGGAAGAGTCTACAAATTGAAGAAGGCTCTCTATAGTTTGAAACAAGCACCTAAAACTTGGAGCATTGTAATGCGGCCATAACACCGACTGAAGCAAGGTTGCAACTGTCTAAAAGTGAGGATGAGCAAGATGTGGATCCAACTCAATATAGAAGGTTGATTAGATCATTACGTTACTTGTGCAATATGCGACCATATTTGGCGTTTAGTGTCGGTATTGCGAGTAAATTTATGGAGAGACTGAAAGATTCTCATTTGGTAGCGGTTAAGAAGATCCTAAGATAAATCAAAAATACTCTTGGTTGTGGAATACTCTTTCCTGCAGCTGATACGGACAACAACTGTGAGTTACTCGATTACACAGATTATAATTAGTGCAGAGATAAAGATGATAGAAAGTCTACGGCTGGTTATATCTTTATGTTTGGCAGAGCTCCAATCTCTTGGTTCTCTAAAAAGGAACCTGTCGTGGCACTCTCTTCTTGTAAGACCGAGTAAATCGCTGCGTTGATGTGTGCGTTTCAGGCTGATGAATCTGCTAAGGGAGCTGGACAACAATGAGAAAAAAGTTGTTACACTCTTAATTGATAATATTTCAACTATTACCTTTGCAAGGAATCTCATTGCACATGGGAGGAGCAAGCATATATAAATGAGATTTCATTACTTGAGGGAGTTGGTTTGTGAAGGCCAGCTGAAGTTAGGATACTGTCGAAGCGAAGAACAACTTTGCGGATTTATTGGCGAAAGGTGTGGCAAATGATGTGTTCAAGAAGCTTGTGAGGATTTTAAGCATGAGAAATGTTGAGCACTTGACTTAAGGTGGTGTATTGGATGTTATGTTTAAGTCAAATGTTGTTTGAAAGCCTCTGGAAGCTATTTTGAAAAATAGCTTAACTGAAAAAGTTGTTACGTGTTAGTGCAAAAATTGAATTTTTCAAAGAGGAAATCAGTTTCCTCATTTATGGAAACCGGTTTCTGTCGCGATTTTTTTGTTTTTCAGTTAGCTGTTTATGACCGTTTCAGGTATTGTGTGTTTTAGTTGTATCACTATAAAACCCTCTTGTAACGCTGTAATGAATTAATGTCAATTATAATTTTCTCCTCAATTACTCTTCCTCTCATAATTTCTATCTTTCTCTCTCAACTTTATCTTCTCCAACTAACCACTTTCACCATTAATTCACCAACTTCATTTTCATATATGTTCCAACAAAAATCACTTGATTCCTCTTCCGAACATACCACATAATCGAAGAATACTTATGATGCTTTATACTAGAATTACAATAGAAATAAAGAAAATAACAACACTCACATTTACACATAAAAATATGGTCCCTAACAAATGGGACTTTATTAACATAATAAAAACAGCAACTGTAGACTAATTGATCTGGTTACGACCGTGTGAGTTATGAATATCTGCCGTGATTTTCCTCCAAACGCGTGATTAGCAAAAAACAAAGAATTTAAAGTATTTAAATGTTAAGCGTCACACACACAAAAAAGTCTTCACCTGTTTTTGTATGTACTTTCTTGGAAGTTTTAAGGTATTTAGAAGTTCAGTTTTTTCAACATTATACGTAGCTTCTTGGAAGTGTTATGGAAAATATGATATAACTTCATCACACAAACTAACGCGTCCTATTTGTGCACTTCATCATATAAATAAATCACTTTAGTCTCAATTTATTCACATCAATTCTTATCACTTTTACTTGAGAAAATATCATTATGAGATTTGGGAAAAACATACTTTTTGGGATGGTATCAGGTAAGCAAGCTCGTAAGGATCACAAACGCAGTAATAAGGTTCCTATTCTTGGGTCGAAACGGAATCATGGTGTTACAAAACAAACATCAAATAGACTTAAACGTATGCTTAAAAGGATGAATGCTCGTGATTCCCTCCTCATGAAATCTTTCATTCGAAGAGAGGTGAGAGATGAGGTTGAAAGAAAATTCCAAGAGCTCTTAGTTTCAAGGTTTGTTTTCATTTCAAAACTATGAACATATATTACGTTTAGGGTGGGAATAGACTTGGGAATATGTTAGGCCCAATTAGGCTTTTTTTTTGATAAAATTGACCAGTTAAATTATTTTTAGGTCAGAGTCCGACTTTTACGATGGTCGGATTGACGAACTATAATTATAGTATATATCTAATGTATTCAACAATATTATTGTTTTTTAATGTTTTCTATTGATGCAGAGAAAAGATTAATGAAGGTGGAAGATCTGGAGCCAGATCCTTAGAGTTGTGTTTTATTAACAATAATAAGTTGCCAATTACGACTTATACTAAAACTAATATAATTCCAAATGATGAACCATTTCAAGTTGCATTATTTGATGTTAGATCTAAGTCAATAGTCAACGATGGTCCTTTCTCTTCAATAAAGATACAGATTTGTCCCATCAAGGGTGAGTTTGAATCTGTTGATGATGAAGATTGGACTCAAAATGAATTCAATGGTAATATCTTGCATGAAAGAAAGAATAAAGAACCATTGTTGGTTGGAGATAGGTTTGTTACTCTTGAAAATGGAGTTGCTTCCATTTCTAAAATTATGTTCAATGATAATTCTGGATGGGTAAGAAACAAAAAGTTCAGTTTGGGAGCGAAAGCTATGAAGAATGGAGAGAACATTAAGGAAGGTAGAAGTAAAGCTTTTAGGGTCAAAGATGTCAGAGGAGAAGGTGAGTTTCATTAATTGTTCACTTATGTTTTGTTTTTTGTTGCTGTGTTTTTGATATGTCTTTGGGTTTGGTCATTGAAGCTTTCAAGAAACATTATCCTCCATTCTTGAACGACTATGTGTGGCGTTTGAAGCTAATTTCTAAAAATGGACCACTCCACAAGCGACTCCGTGACTACGAAATTCATACGGTTAAGGATCTTTTGAGGTTACTCATAGTCAATGAAGCTTCACTACATCAGGTAAATCTCACTAAATCATTGTTTACTTTACCTTTTAAAGTGAATCAACTTCATCATATGAGAGAAAAATAATGAGATCTTTGCATTTAATGGAAACACTAATTGAATGTTTTTCTGTTGAGATGTAGAAATTTGGCAAAATTCAGAACGAGTGCTGGTCTGATATTATCGAACATACCCGGTCGTGTGTTGTAGATGATTTCAAGCTTTACGGCTATGAGATGATTGGACAACCAATACTTCTTCTGTTCAATGTGATCTTTGAACTTGTTGGTGTGACATTTGATGCACAAGAGTTTTATTTACCAGATGATCTCACACTCACACCCAACCAGAAGGTATGCATACCATTAGATAATATGTAATGAGCCTTTTTTTATACTTGGAGGAAAGTAGTGAATATGTTTCTTCTTCTTTTACAGAATTTGGTAGAAACTGTGAAGCAAGACGCATACCGAAACATTGAAAAGTTAAAAGCAATTGATGAGGCTGCATTGAACTCCATAAGCTTAGAAGCATGTATAAAATCAACACAAGAACAAGATGTGCAACATATTGATATCTCTGCAGAGAATGGTAATGATGGAATGGAAAATATTGAAATGAATGTTGATCCGGTGGAAGACATAGGAGAAATACCAGAAAACAATTATTGTCATTCAATAGAGAATCTCATAAATGTTGGTTATTTTGAAGGAGCTGAGTGGAGCACTTTAGTTGATTTACTGAATTCTGATATGGAGATATCAAACAGTGAGAAACCAAAAGCCTTGTGGTGTAAGATTCGTGCTGTTGTGAAATTGGGAATATCAATGAGAAGAGTTGCAGCAGCCAAGAGGAATGAAGAGCTGTCTTTTCGTAAGGTTTATGATATCGGTACTATTTCAATTAGAGATGTGTAAGATCATAAGAGTCCTCCTGTCTAATATTATAGTGTTAACATAAAAGATAAGAGTCTGTAAAATAATATCATATATAATCAAATTTAGATCATGAAAAGGGAAGGTATTAGCACCCTTTTCATCCATGATTTTCTATGGACTCTTAGTTACTCGTTTAGATCACCTGCTTTTGTTTTGACAGTGTGCTTGTGGTGTGGGCTTTGAAAGTGTTTTGGAAAATCTCTTTGTAATGGTTCTCGTTTCTATAAGAACGCATACAAAGTTTTGTTTCGAAAGATAGTTCAAAGATGTGTCTGTGGATTGTGTTTTTTGAAACTGGTTTTGAAAAGACGTTTTGCAATGGTTTTCGTGTCTATAAGAACGTATACAAAATGTTTTGTCTTTTGAAAATGTTTTGAGATGAAAGTATTGGTGTAAAAATATTTTTTGTCATGAGTAAGCGAGTAATTAGAAGCGAATCTACCTACTCGAAAGGTTTTCAATTGTTCTTTTCTTCCTCCTTTTAATGTTGCTATCTTACCATTGATTTGGTAAGAAGCCCCGTCGTTGGATGTAAATGGACAGGCGTGGGTCAATTTTACAGTCATCGAAAGCAACTTATGAGACGTTTTAGCAATTTTCATAAGGGACTAGATCGTTTTACCGGAGACAACGTCGACGGTCATCGAGGGACTACGATCTTTTTATCGAAGGGTCATTGCTAAAACGTCTCATGTTCGAGGGACATGACTATTTTTCCGATAAGCAACGAAATGGGATTACCCTCAGGGTGCGTGCGTGAATAGTGTGTTTGATTGCATGCATTTTAATCTTGATTAAGGTTGACTATTTTGTTGTTTTCATGTCTTGCCATACATCCTATTTACTAGCACTATATGAAAAGTAAATAAAATGCGAAAAAATAAAATCTAAGTTATTACATCGCTTTAGGGAGATGAGGGTACATATTTATGAATGTGGGTTGCAAGTAAAATTAAATCCTAAGTCACTATTACAACCATATCGAAATGGATCAGAATGTGCAAGAAACGAAATTGCTTATTTATTTAAGAAAAGAAATAAGTTTGCTTAAGAAAATATTTTTGGTCTTTTGTTTTAAGAAATAAAGTAAAGCATGAAAAAAATGTTTTTGGTGTTTGTTGATTAATGAAATAGAAAGTGATAACAAAAAAAAATCAGCGTATTGCTGATTAAGGGAGGTCAGAAGTTTTGACTCGGGCGCACTGCAAAACATAAATTATGTTAGTAGAGTCAGAAGTTCTGAGTCCACTGGGAGCACATTAGCTTTCAGAAGTTCTGATACCACCGGCAACAGAGTAGGTTTCAGAAGTTCTGATACCACCAACAGAACTTGGTCTCTCTCTCCATGGTAGTCAGAACATCTGTAATTTGGTCATTTTTCCACAAAACAGAAGATATGTATATGACAATTATGGCAAGTTTCATAGCATTTCAGAAACAAGAAATATCAGAACCATAAATCAGAGACAAGTGTGAATTTTCTAATCCTAATTCTGAGTTCCAATTTCTTCCAGAAGTTCTGAAACTGATTTATTCCATACTTAGGCAGGCAAATACGTGAAGCCTCAAAATATGTATAACGTCAGAAATATGATATCTACATTTCATTTTGAATATGCAAATCTGATAATGCTTAAGCAACATGATAAGAGTCAGCAGAAGCTTACCTTGCAGCTGGAAAAGATCCTGTAAACTGGGGGTTGGTCCTGGACTCTGGTGATGTTCTGAGCAACTTCTTCACGTATTCAATAGGATGGAGGTTTTCAACTTCTGGAACAGCCGAGTGGTGATACTCTGACCTTTTTTGAGGTGGAGGTGAATGAAGAGTGTATGGTAGTATGAATACAGTAGTTAAGATGGCTTCTAGTATGTGAATCAACAATTGTGGGGATGATTTTAATCAAGGAACAATGGAGTTTTGATGCTAGAATAAAATGCTAAGGTTTTGGTATTTTGGTGTTTACAACTTTTTTGGATTCTTGGAATTTCGCAAAGATTCAAGGCCTTTTCTTTCTTTTGGTGATTCTCCCTCTCCAAAAACCAACCCCTATAATCTACAACTGTTTCATTTTCCCATGCCTCAGATACATCCTCTCTTTGTTCTTCCTTCTTTCTCTTTTACTCATGTTTGTTCATTTTTGTTATTGAGTTTCGAATTGTTTCGATTTTGTTTATTTGCTGTTTCAGGTTTGGCTCACGTGGAAGGGAGAAGATTCGTCGGCGATGGTTAGATTTATGGGTTTAGTTGACATCGGTGTTTATCTTCTTCGTTATTATTAATCATACTTTGCGGTCTTTTTATTCCTCGCAAACTGATAGCATTGGTTGTGAATAGAATATTGAGTGTTTATATTGAAATTTTTTCTGTTATCTGTTTATCACAAGAAGAAGCAGTGGTAGTGATCACATCTTAATCTTTGAATTTTATACTACTTTATTTCAGGTTTGTATATGCACATCATCAGTTTGATAAAAAGTTGTTGAGAATTCTGAGTCTCACCAATATTATCATCACAATAAGTTTGATTATTTTTTAGTTTTTTAAAAATAAAAAAATATTGTTTATAGTTTGTTGTACCCAAATTTTAGTCCCTAAGATCCCCTTACCATACCATATTGATTCAATCACAACAAGATCACATTATGGCTTTTGGTTCTCCTTCCTATCTTTAGTTTTTCTTTTTCAGGTATCACCAAGCACCTGGACTTGTTTTTCTTGTGTAATCATTCATGTTTTTGTTTTTACTTTCCTTTTAATTAATAAAATGCGATGTTGGTTTGTTTTACTTGTCAACAATGCAGGTAAAGACAATGGGGATTAGCAAGTTGATCCATGGGTTCATGAGTTTATTTCCATGACCTAGTCAATGAAGCTTGAGAAGTTCAAACCTCACCATGGAAGTTGTTTTGAAAGGTATGACATGGAAATGTTATTTTGTTTCACTACATTTCCAAATTATCAAGATTGATTCAAAAGTACAAGGGGTTGATTGAAGGAGTTGTCATGCTTGGACAAAGCCTTGCTCCCATTGACCACAAGTGCATATTTCTCTCAATTCTCAAGATATAGAAGTGTTTGTGGTTTCTATGAGTTCTCATTATCATCCTCAACAACTTATATTTACAAAGCATTTGTTTTGGTACAAGAAGTTTGTTCAAAATTGTCAAAGTTCCTCAAAGCATGTTCCTTAATCTAGGAGCTAGAGTTTTGAACTTCAAAGGAGTATATCTTGCTCATCTTTTAGTATTTTTGAGTGATTCCAAAGACATCCTTCTATTCAAAGGTTTATCAACAAATCACTTTAAAAGTTCCAAGGAGTTTTCATGTGGAAGAAACTTGATGAAGAAGAAAGATTACAAGTCCTGCAGATGAATCCCCATTTTTCCATGTGTGACTTCAAATGATCATAACTTGGTCAATTTTTATCATCTTGAGCCCATTCTTTTTCCATAATGATCTTGAAGATGTTAAATTTATGCCTTATTTTATGTTCAAAGTGAGAAAGTGAATGGAAATTGCCTTAAGGATACAAAATATTATAGGTCATTTCATGATTTTTTTCCCACTTCAACAATTCATAACTCTCTCAATTTTTGGAGATTTTGAATGGTTCAAGTTCCAAAATGTCCTTCAAGAGATCTACTTCATGCCATATTTTTTGGTCAAGAGCAAATTCCAAGTAGAAGGCTATGTTTGGATGCAAGACATTATAGGTCACTTTTGAAGAAGAATTTGAAATACTTCTAAGTATGTAAAGTCAACATTTTTTCTCCAACTTTAACTCAACACGACTTTCATATCAAGCATCCATTTGATTCCATTATTTTTCCATTGCAAAGCTTGTAACCTCATCTTTCTGAAGCATCAAGAATCATGCCCTAAGACCCCTTGAGTTGATAACGCCATTGGTTAGAAGTTGGCACTTTGAAACTGAAATTTTCACCAAGTCAGAAGTTTGAAATCTTTGTTTTGGCTTCTAATGACAAGATTTACACACGTTTTTGATTTAAACTTGATTAACAAACTTGCCAGAAGTGTTTAGCACCTCAAAACGCAAGGATTGGATGAGTTTTAGTGAAAATTAGATCACACTTCACTCGTGCATCAGGTTTGAACGAATTCCCTCCAAAATGCATCATTCACTCTTCCTTTTGATCCCATTTTTTCTCCTATAAGTACATGAACTATCCCATTCATTTTTTTCAAGCTTGGATAGCCAGAATCACCCTGCCAAACTTGTTCCATAACTCAGAATTCAGCAACTTTGTAATCCATATACAAGCCTTTTTCAATCCAATTTTTTTTATCAATTCACCTTCCTTGATCTTCCCTGAAGCTAACCATATAATTACATTCAAGAATCGTGCCCTATATTGCTCCATAGAAGTCTAGTTTCAGAGCTCTGCATCTCAACTTCAATAGGTAGATTCCTTCACGAATTCTTCAAAACTTTGATATCATTGTGATGTTCTCATTGCCCGGGTTCTAGTCGCAATACTTGCTTTTTACTGGAAACACGTTTTGACCATGAAATTTCAAATCCCTTTTCAAAACTTTCTTTCCAAATTGCTTGAGCTGCAGTTTATATGAATTTGGCGCGAGGGTGTGGTTGTCTTCGTCTTGAAGAGACGAAGAGAATGACATAAGTATGAGCTTCTGATTTTATAGTTTGAGAGACCTGCAATTCACGTTGGCTGGAGGTTGAAGATGACCAACGCGTCATCTTCCAACCAATGATGGCACGCCACTTGTTATTTTTGAATTCTGATTTAATAATTGATGCAATGCTTTATTCACTAATGACCATGATATGCACAGTGCGCCAGATCCCTTGGATTTGATTACTAACGCGTTTTGACTCTCATCCAATGGTCCACATATTTTTGACTTTTATTTTCTTTTCTGATTTTTTTATATTTAATTGTTTTAAACTTCAAAAAATCATAGAAAATTGATTTTAAATCCAAAAAATCTGAAAAAATCATGAAAAATATTTTTGATTATTCTCTTTCTGATTTTTATTTTTTCATAATTTAATTTTTTGTTTTGGTATTTTTTTATAAATTTACACTTTATTTGATTTGTTTTAAATGTTTAAAAATACTTTTATGCATTTTTAAATTCTGAAAAAATTATGGAATGATCCAATGATATTGTGACAAATATTGGTGACCTTATTTTATTTTTGTTTTTGACTTTGCTATTTTTTTTATCATTTTTGGTTTATTTTACCCCTTTCTTTTAATTTTAAAAATAGTTTCTGACTTAAAAAAATTTCCCAAAAATTTATAAAATTATTTTAGTTCATTTCTGATTTTTCTATGGTCTTACTTTTTATTTCTTGATTAATTTGAACATATTTGATATTTTTATCTTTTATTTCTATTTTTAAACATTATTTTTAAACCTTTTGTATATATTAAAATGTAATATTATTTTGTGATTATTTTCTGGCTGATCTTGGATTAAATTTTTGATCATGAACTCTATTAACATCATTGGATCCATGGTGTTGAGTTTAACTCCACAAAAATGGATGAATGATTTTAATAATAGTTTGATTAAATTTAATTCAAAAGTGGTTTGTATATTCTATCTCATCCTTCTTCATCTCATCCCCTTCTTATTGCACTAAATGTTGTTGGAGCATGATCTATATATCATGTCTCAAAACAAATGGTGCATAGATTGCTATTGATCAGCCTCAAAATAGGTGCGACTTCTATATAAGTCCACTTACGATTGCTTAACTTAGCGCTAAATTTTGTCCCGATTCGAATAAATGATCAATCGTGGCCCAAACTTATGTTTGCAAGCCCAAGTATGTTAATTTGATCTCTTTGATCCAATAACCTTGAGATTCATTGTGTGAAGGCTTTGGTTCTACCAATCCTCCAATGGATCTACAACACCTTTGGTCAACGCGGATCACTTAAACATCGTTGATCATTAAATGATATTCATAAGGATTCCAAATGGATGATATACTTGACAAAAAGCAAATGCAACTTGTTGTGTGGAGGCTTTGGTTCTACCAATCCTCTAATGAGTTCCAAATGTGTTGGCTCCTAAATTCGACACCCACATTCTGTTATTATATAAATCATTTAAATTGAGTCAGAAGAGTTTCCGACACAAGAAGGCTTTGACCAACTGATCACGTCGAAGGCTCAACAAAGAATGACAAGATACTTAGAGAAATTCCTTTAAGTTGGACTCTTGTTGTCTTCGACGTCGAAGGAGTAACCTCTCGACCAAGGTCCCTGATGCCCAAGATCGAACGGTTTGAATTTTGAACTGTTGGAGGGAAAACGGTTCCCAGCAGTTACCAAGCACAACTTGTCGTGCACATAGGCGTTATAGGTTGTGAGCATGCCATGTGGAGTCATCATGAAGCGGTGTGATTGCCCAGCATTTACTTAGTTTCTTAGTATAAATACTAAGTATTTACAAAGTTATAAGGGTGTTCATCATTGTATACAAGTCACTCATTTAGATTCAAGTACCCAGCATGAGAGAAAGAATCATTGAGAATGTATGTGTGAAACACCATTTACCTTAATCAAAGTCCTTTATATTCAAGCAATTTATCACTTTTACTCATTTACTTCAGTCGAAGTCATTTATTTAGCAAACCTTTAATGCTTTTATTTACTTTATCAAGCTTTTCTCCATGCAATTTATCTAAAGCATCTCTACTTTACTTGCATTAATCACCATTAGGATTAGTCGAACTTCTTCATTTCAAAACGTTTAAACTCTAAAAATCAACCATGTCTTAGGATCAATCTGATCGATCCTGCGAGTCACCAAATAAGTAACCTTTTGGAAGATCAGCGGTTGTTTACCATTTTTCACGGTAAACAAATTGGCACACCTTGTGGGACCTTGTGTTGATTCTTTCACGTTTAATCGTCTTATATAAACTATCCTTCTTTTTCGAGAGTATTGCATGTTATTAAGAAGTGGTAGAATATACACCAACGAAACCAATACTAGGAGAAGAGTTAGTGAAATGGCGAATCCGCCAAACAATGGAGAAATCCCACAAACAAACGTGGGAGCAACGGTTATCCCAACCGTAAGTGAAGTGGTAACCGCTGGTTCAACGCCAGCAGTAACGATCATACAAACGGGGCCATTACCTCCATTTACAGGCCCCAGAATGCCCTTGGGAACTCCCCTACCTAGGGGAAACCAAGGAACAAGACCATATGTTCCCCTAGGTTT